CCAGGTCATAGCTGAGGTAACCTCCAACAAGTGAGCATTATGGGTCTCAGAGAATCCCATAAGTTCTGGCTTTTTTTGGATTATCACAGATGGGAAGTTGAACCAGATGGCATCTCACTCTCAACATCCTTTCTAGCTCTAAAATTCTGATTCCATGAAACACAACAACTTGAGAAATAAACTAAATTCCATATAATACTTTTTTGTATTCTTAAGCTAGTGAAGTAGGAATATCTATAAAGGGGGCTAAAAATTAGTATTGGAAATATTTCTGTTTTCACAAATTACAGAGACCAGGGAGAAAGCAAGCTGTGATGTGACGCTGGAGGGAAGTTAAAAAGAAGTCATTGCTTTGATCTGAATTCTGTACCTTTCATTGTTGTTTTCCTTTACGTTCTTGTAGTCAAAGTGTTCTGTCCTCTTGCTTCTGCTCTAAATCAATTCAAACAAGTGTTCCAAGGTCTCCGGATTCCTAGTATTTGCCATTTCCCATGGTGTAAATTTGCTCAGTTATTACGCATTTGAGGGACACCTTCTTTGTTTTTTAAATTTTTGTTACCACAAAAAAGGTTGCTATGAATATTCTAGTATATATGAGACTTTGTCTCTGGCCTTCTTTGGGCACATACTCTACTTTTGGGAATAGTATCAGTGGGTCAAAGGGTATGACCCATTTAGTCACTTTTCTGGCATAACTCTGTATTGTTTTCCAGAATGTTTGGACCAGTTCATCACTTTACTAACAATGTATTAGATTTCCTGCCTTCCCATGTTCCCTTGAACACTGACTCTTCTTTATACTGTTGTTTCTATCCTTTGACTAACATCTTTTAAGTCCCCTTCTTTCTGCATAAGTGTCTGGAGGAATGAATGAGAAGGAGTTGATTTTCTAGTTGATTTTTTGTCCAAGCACAGTTCAGCCGGGGACCGTGTCTTTGCAGAAGCATGGCCTGAGCAGGCTGAGTTAAAGGCACTTAGCATCCACACCAAGCCAAGAAGCATAATCTGGCAAGGCTAGCAAAGGAAAAAGAGAGTGGAGAGGAGCTGAGGCATCAGAAAAACATGGCAGACAATGAGAGGATGGATGACTTCCTCAAAATTATGGCCTCTTGGCAGAAGAAGCAGGTTCCCACTAAGATCAAGAAGGAATAGGCTTGGAAGATGCGAAAAGGAACTGTGGCATATTGGAAAGATTGTTTAACTTGAATTTGGAGGCCAGCTTTATCCCTTACTACCTGTGTGACCTTTGTGTGAGCTCCTTCCCCTCTCTGACATTCAGTTTCATTATCTATAACATGAAAGGATTGGACCACATGACCTTCAAGGTCCCTTTCAAGTAAACATCTATAATCCTAGGATAAGAACACAAGACCTCTGTCAAACCTCTGAATGGTTAGTGAGGTTGGGTCTCTAGCACCTGGTCCTGCCCCTGGTTCCTCTCTGTCTGCCCAGCTTGAGTTTGAAGGAGGGCAGACCCTACTGCCTTGCTAAGGCAGCAGGGGCATGTGTTGCTTGGAAGTGCTTTCATGCTCATGCCTGGTAAATCTAGCTATAAAAGTTCACCTCCCGATTCTTTTCTGAAATTTTTGGACAGAGGATAGGAGACACCAGCTGGGCTGGGGTTGGTCCTAAGCTGTGCTTGGTCCCCAGGGCCTACAAAAACAGGCCAGCTGAGGACCAGCAGGCAAGGTCCTTGCAGAACAGTGGCGGCTCTCAGGGTCCACAAACAAACAAAGAAGCAAAGGAAGAAGAGAGCTAGAAGAAGGTGAAGCAGCAGAAAAACAAAGGCCCTGGTAGGCTGGTTATCATCCCTACTTCTCTCCCTCCCACCCCCAGCTTTCTTCCAAGGACTTTTCTCCTGTGTTTTTGTTAGAAGAAACAATGCTGTGGTTTTACGGGCGAAGGGAACCCAAGAATCTCTCTGATTAGTAAGCTCTGTTAGCCTCTCCCTTTTGATGCTATGGAAGGGAATGAGGGTTGATGGAGAAGGAAGAGGTGGCAACATCAACCTAGATTGGGACATTGAGTTAGAACATAGATACCTGCAACTTGCCAGAGGACCCACTCAGGAAATCCATGCATTGGCAAACATATTACCCCAAGGCTAAAGGTGATCATCTGTGCTTCCAGAGCAAGGTGGAGGGGAAGTGGGCTCTGAAATGGGGAAGTCCTACAGTTCCAGAGAAGACCTTGAAGGACCTACCTTGATCTACCTCTGGATAGCTTCTCCCTCTGGCTAGACACCATCATAGACATGGAGTCATGATTAATTATTAGAAGGAGTTCATTAACATGACCAAGTATTGCCCCCCTTTCAGGGATGACTTGCAAGATCATCTCTTATTCACACCCTTTCTCCACTATGGTGCATTGGTCAGTGTAACAGATCAGGAGTCAGAAGACTTGGATTTGAAGCTCTTAGTCCAACTCGCTGTGTGATCTTGATCAAATCATTTAAATTTCTGGGCTTTGGTTTCTTCATCAGTTTAGAAGAGACTAGATGACAGGCAGCTGAAAGCAAGAATGGGTCCCAGTACCTGAAATCCATCCAGTGCTTAGACACATAACCCATCACAGAGTTATTCCATTATTGGCAAGGGAAACTGTCCAACTGCAGCTACTTTAGGAGAGACCAGAAGGTGGACCTGAGATAAAAATACACATATGCCTGAAGGAAATTAATTGCAGCAAATCCCATGAATACTTTGTCAAGCTCAGGCCCCGTATATAGTCTTGGCTTGGAGCTTTACCATTCAACCTCTGACATGAAAGGATAGCCAAATGTTCTAGCTCCAACTCTGGTCTTGGCTGAACCATAACATCTCAGAGTTAGGAGGAACCTCAGAGATCACCCTGTCCAACCCATCCATCCTGGAACAGGAAACTCCACTAGAATGTCCTTGAGAAGTGATCATCTGACCTCTGCTTAAAGACCTCCAGGGAGGGGCAAGCCGCTGCCATCTGAGGCAACTCATTCCATTTTTTGCACAGTCCTTCATTTCTTCTTGCTGGAATCTACTCCCCTGAGCATTCTCTCCCTTCCCTCTCTGCTCCTGGTTCTGTTCTCTGGAACCAGGCTGAATGAGTCTGACCTAAATTCTTCCCACCACAGTGTGAGGCCATTTCATCTGAAGGAGAAATTGGACTGTGTCCCAGGACATGTTTTCTCTGACTGTCCCACATTGCTGAAATGTTCTCCCTCCTTTGCTCTACCTACTGATAACCCTGACTTGCTTTAAGTCACAGCTAACAACCCATCTTTTACTGGGAGCCTTCTCTATCCTCTCTTAATTCTAGTGCCTTCTTCTGTTAATTATTTCCTTTACATCTTGTATGTAACTTGCTTTGTGTATGTGTATATATATATATATAGATAGATGTCTTCCCCCATTAGAATGTAAGCTCCCTGAGGGCAGGAACTGTCTGTAACCTCTTTTTTTGTTTGTTTGTTGGGATTTTTTTTTGTGGCATTTGGGGTTAAGTGACTTGCCCAGGGTCACACAGCTAGTAAATGTCAAGTGTTTGGTCTGAGACCGGATTTGAACTCAGGTCCTCCTGACTCCAGGGCTGGTGCTCTATCCACTGCGCTACCTAGCTGCCCCTGTAGCCTCTTTTTGTATCACCAGCACTTAGCACTGTGCCTGGCACATAGCAGGTGCTAAATGTTTATTGATTGATTGATTGATTGACATCCCTCTTCTACCATACCTAGGGAGAATACTTTAAAGGGGTTGTCCTTGCCAGTCCCTCTTTGAGGCACCATTGATCTGGCTCTTCGTTTGTCTTCTAGGGGAGGGGGGAGGCATTTCGGTTCATAGATGGCAGAGCCCAGGCATAAGATAGGAAACACCTCAGCCTGTGAGAGTGAGAATCAGAGAAAGCATCAGGCGGGGCCCTAAGGGTCTGTCTTGACAATATGATCACACATACACATACACACACAACACGCACACACACCCCTACCCCTTCCTCTAGTCATCCCCAGTCCCTAAGATTTAGGCAGAGCTGTTGCTTCTCATAGCTACATATGCCCTAAGGCATATGTTTGAGGTTCTCCCCTCAAATACACTCCACCTGGGTCAGGCTCCTTGGGTTGAGTATTAGAAAATAATTTACTCAAGTTCATTGAGTGCAATTGACCTAATGTTTAACATATATGCATTTTATTTGAAAGTTTCGGTCTATTTTGCCCCAACCCAGAGGCCCGATTCCAGTGGTGGGGATTTCAGGAACTAAGGAAAGGTCACAGATATTTTGGCACAAGAGGGCTGGCAGTGTGCCCTCCTCCCAACCCACCATGTAGGCAACCATCTGTTCTGCCTATGGGTAGGTCTAGCCATGTGGGCCTTCATGCTCTCTGGGTACCCCTAGCATTTCTTGAGTTTCAGCAACCTCCCCTAAACCATCATATTGAACTTGGCCTTCGGAACACTGTAATCCCTTGGACAAGAGATATTATCCTCTCTGCATCTTTTTACTTGCCATTCCCCCTGAAAAACTGAATCCATAACACCTGCCATCTTCTGTGATGCAGAGTAAGGGAGCAGAACCAGGAGTACAATTAATACAATAAAAAAGTCATTATAAAGGCAAACAACTTTGAATGCATCTGACTGGGCATCTCAAACTGGGCAGACATCTCCAAAGCAGCACATCCCAAACTGAACTCATTATCTATACCCCTAAGCCCTTCCTTCTTCCTAACTTTCTTATCACTGGGGATGATAGATTCAGATGTGGAATGAGACACATTTTTGAATATGGCCTGTGTGGGAATTCATTTTGTTTGACTATATTCATATTTGTTGCAAAGGGATATCTTCTTTTTTCTCTAATGAGGATGAGGAAAGGTAGAAAGGAAAGAAAATAATTGCTTGTTCATTGAGATTTTAAATTAAATTAAATTATTTAAAAAAGAAATTAGTTCTAGATCTGTGCCAGGGTTAGAGGAAACAGAGATTCCAAAAACAAAACACAGAAACCAAACACAGATTCCCAAGTGAAAATTGATAACCCTGAAGAGTTTTTATTGCAACTTTTATTTATTTCCAACCAAAGCAGGGAGGGAGGATTTTCCAACCAAAGCAGGGAGGGAGAGGGATAAAGGTGCAGCTTTTATATCAACCAAAGCTTCTCCATTTCACTGGTTCTTTTCTAGTTCTTTTCCTTAGAAGTTCCTCAAGATTCCAAGTATTGTGTTATATCTGGCCTGGTCATATATCTGTCTAATTTTGGGTGGAAGGGATCTGGTGTCAATGATTCCATTGGATGAAGATCTTTTAACGTGAACTTTCTTAAGAGAAAAAATATAAAATAATAATATGAAACATAATATAAACTAAAATATAATATAATAATATAAAATAAAAGTTAATAATGTGAGTCTTAGGGAAGCAAGGTGGAGTCTAAAGCTTTCCACAATGCCCTGTGTTCACAGAAGATAGTAAAAAGATTGAATTAATAATACTCACATACCTGCAAGAACCAAATAGGATAAGATATGGCAAAATGTTTTGTAATCTCCAAAGTGCTATCCAAATGTACATACAGTCATGGCAGAGAGAACCCATACATCGATAACTCATAGGATTTTAGTGAGTAGCCCCATAACCTACATTCAGTGGCCAGTATAAGAATAGAACACATTTCCTGATTCCCAAACCTGAGTCTCTTTATTACATTACACAGAAACAGATTTCAGCTTACGATCGCAGAATGTTAGAATGGAGGTAACCTTAGAAATTATCCAGTCCACCCTTCCCCCTTTTTCGACTGATGGGATAACTGAGACACAAAGAAATAATTCAAAGTCACCCAATTGGTAAGTGGTGGAGATGGAGTCATGTGACTCCAGCAGACAGTCAAAAAGGAAGAGACAGGGTAGCAGCTATAGATAGCCTGCCATAAAGGTGAAAAAACTGGCTAAGTTTGGGCAATTCACACTGACCACAAACTTGATCAGCTTTAGATAGTCCATTTTCCTTGAGTAACCAAATCCAATGAGGCCTTTGATCGGAATATTTAAAAATCTTCTGAATTAAATAACTCATCCATAGTTTTCTTTTTTTGGGAAACCCAGATTTACATCTCTCAGTTTGTTGGGTTTGGGTGGGGCAAGGCTTCCTTCCTCCTGAGATGCGGGTTTTCCAATGAGGTTTTTTAATGCTGACATCTAGGGGATTCTCATGTTAGACTCATGGCTTGGGCAAGTTTGGGAAAAAGCAGAGAGGAGCCTGGAGATCCCCAATCCCAGGTTGCATTTCTGCAACAAACCTGCCTTCTCACTTGGCAAGCCATATTGGGAAAGCTTACCCAAATTGTTGTTATTGCCGACATCCTGGCATTCGACGGAACTCAGCCCTAAAGGAGTCAGCCTGGTGAACTTCGCTGTACAGTTCTTCTCCAACTGATCAGGAGAGAGAAAAAACATGTTTGAGGATTTGAAAAATATGCCACTTGTCATCCTCTCAGGAAGATTAGTCTATTGTTCTGTTGCATAGGATAGATGATACCATAGTCTCAATAGAGATGAGAAACAGAGGAGCATGGACATCAAATGTAGCATATACTGATAGATCCTAGCAGTTGGTTTTGTTACTGTTTTTGTTGTTATGAGAAAGGGTTCTATTGAGAGTGGTATCTATCAGGAAACTGGTGTAAGAAACAAAAAAGCATCAGTAAAACTTTTTTCAAAGAAAAAGAGAATTGATAATTCGAAATAAATTAATTTTAAAAAATAACTCCAAAAAAAAAGAAGAAGAAGAAAAAGAAAAAGAGAAGTTATGGGTTGTTCAAATGCCAAGATTGGTAGTTATTATTGCTAGAAAGAAACACAGTGATGCAGTGGTGGGGAGGGCTACAGCTTAGGTCTTCCATAATGAAGTGAGACAGGGTGAGTTTCTGCACCAAGACCCCATCCTGGGGATGTGCAGAGAGTGCCAAAGGGCTGCCTCCAAAACCAAATGCTACTTACTCCATTCTCTTTGAAGGCACAGGTTTCTGGGTTCTGCTGCCCTGATGAAGGACACTCCGTTTCCTTTATTCTGAATGTCAGTGGCAGCTCCAGAAGTGAGTCCTAAAACATCAGGGTAAAAACTCAAGGTCAACAAGGATCTCATATGCCAAGGTTCTGTTTTCATGCCCCATCATGGCCTGAGGGTGACCCTGCCTTCCTCAAAGCTGTACTATCAAAGCACAAGTTCTGCCTGGAAAGATTTCAGACCCAGTGGGAGAGCTTGTGTCTGTGAAAAGAAGACCAGCCCAGCTGAAGACAGGAAGCTCATCACCAGAAAAGTGACCGCAAGAGGAGGAATTTTTTTCAGCCATGGTAGCTCAAGAAACATGGAGGAGTTAGAGTTTACATGGGAAGGGGGACTGGAGGAAGCCGCAGAAGTAAGGTGGGTACCCCCACCCGTGAAATCACAAACCTTTGAAGTATTAAGCAATAAAACCCTAAGCAATATAAACAGGTGAAGTATTTGCTGAGGGTCAGTGTCTCAGGATGTTAGGAAGTGGTACACTAGGACTTAGAGTCAGGAAGACTTGAGTTCATAGAGCAGCTAGGTGGTGCCACAGTGCATACAGTGCCGGGCCTGGAGTCAGGAAGACTCATCTTTCTGAGTTCAAATGTAGCCTCAGACACTTACGAGTCATGTGACCCTGGGCAAGTCACTTAACCCTGTTTGCCTCAGTTTCCTCATCTGTAAAATGAACTGGAGAAGGAAATGGCAAACCACTCCTGTGTCTTTGTCAAGAAAACCCCCAATGAGGTCATGACTCAACAACAAAGACTGCTAGAGACACTCCCCCCCCCCCAGCAGTGTGACCCTGAGCAAGGAATTTAACCTCTCTGTGCCTCATCTATAGAAGAGGAATAATAATAGCACCTACCTACCTCCGAGAGTTCTTGGGAGGATCAAAGGTGTTAGCATATGTAAAGCACTTTGCAAAACCCTATGGCGCTGCTGTATACCTGCTAGCTATTATTGTAATAGATTTAGAACTGGAGAGGACCTTATAGACCATCCGGGTCCAACCCTCTCATTTTACAGGTGAGTGAACTGAGGACCAGAGAGGTTAAGGAATTTGCCTAGAGTCACACAGATAGTATGAAGCAGGATTCTAACCCAAGTCTTTCTGGGGCCAAGTACAACATGCTATCACCTCATTGTTTCTCCTAAAGAGGACCGCAGATCTGTCTTTTGGGTACTGGAATGTCCCTGCTACAACTCTCATCATTTTGGGAGTAGTTAGGGAAGGGAGTGATTGCATATCAGTATTCTACGGGACATTTAGGAAGTAGGCAGATTGGTGGTTTGGAAAGTGGAAAGGCCGTGTCATTGCCCCTTCTTGGTGGAGTTGGATGAGAACTGGAGCCGGGTGTGCCTGGGTATGGGAAGATAGGATGAAGACGAGACAGGAGGAAGAGAGACTGAGACAGTGTGGTCAAGGCTTGTCCCTGTTCTAAGTCCTGGAGGTGAATCATGGAACACTTTAGAAAACACCCAGCCCAAAGGTCCTTAACCTTGGTCCCCAGATTTCCAAAGGGGTCTATGAACTTGGATAGAAAAAAATTACATCTTTGTTTTATTTAATATCTAACTGAAATTTAGCGTTTCCTTCCATTATTTAAAAATATGGTTTTGAGAAGGGGTCCATAGGCTTCACCAGCCTGGTCCACACAAAGGTGAAGAACACTTGTTTTAATCCAACTCCCTCATTTTACAGCTGAGGGAGGTAAAGTCTAGAAAAGTTACAGGACTTGTTCAAGGTCCCTCAGGGCATAAATAAGAGAGCTGAGAATCAGGCTCTTTGACCCCTAACTCCAGGGCTCTTTCCACTCTGCCACACTGTCCCTCTGCAGATATGGCAGGCAGAGCTGGCCTCGTTGGCCCCTGAACAGAACTACCCAACCCCAAGCTGTTCAACAAGTCTTAGATACCTTTTTATTGTTGTTCACTCATTTCAATCACGTCTGACTCTTCTTGACCCCGTTTGGGGTTTTCTTGGCAAAGATACTGAAGTGGTTTGCCATTTCCTTTTCTAGCTCATTTTACAGATGAGAAAACTGAGGCAAACAGGGTTAAGTGACTTGCCCAGGGTCACACAGCTAGTAAATGTCTGAGGCCAGATTTGAACTCAGGAAGATGAATCTTTCCGACTCCAGGCCCAGCACTCTATCCAACGCACCATCTAGCTGCGCCTTAGATACCACAGATATTTGTAGAAAGCCACACAATTCAATTTCAGAGTCAGGTCAGGAACCCAGATCAAAGTTCAGCATTTTCCATTTAATCTACTGCCCAATAGTCTCACATCTCCTTGTGGTCTCCCCTGGTCCCCAACTCCAGCCACATACACACCCCCAAGGAATCCCCTGTGTACTCACTGGAGTTGGAAGACTGGACACCAGAACGCGATACTTTGCTCCTTCATTTAAGTTCTTGTTAAACCTCCTTGCAGCCAGGACTGAAGCATCCTTGTAGGTCAGCCTTCTTCTAGGTAAAGCTGTGACTGCTGTAGCCAGGCCCAGCAGCAGCAGGACCCTCCAAGTACTCACCATTCTTCCTCCATTTAGGTCCAAGGTAGGTCCTCTATGGCGTAGCGGAGATCCCTATTTATAAGCCTGCCCCAGCCCTTGTCTTACACAAGGAGAGTCAACTCTGCCCGGGCCTCTTCCCAAAATTGGTGACTTCTCTTTTTTTTTTTGCAATAGACTTCCATTGGCCAATGTATGAAGTAGGTAGAATTGGTCAAGAGGTGCCCCAAAGGAAAATGAACTTGGGCAAGAAGCCTGTGTGTTGGGTACAAACAAGAGCCAGTGAGGTAAAGAAATCTGTGTACTCACCTCCTTTACCACTTCTGCACCCCTCTGCAGGATTTAACATTGTAGGCCCTCTCCTCCTTTAGCTTAGCTTTCATGAATCTCTCATGGTTCACCTCCAATCTCTCAACCCCACTACCTGTCTCCTTTGCTAGCCTTAGAATGGTGGCATAAGGAAGGGACCAGAATTCCCAAATTGCAGAGCTGGGAAGGAACTTTTGAAATCCTATTTATTGCAATGAGTTGTCAAATTCAGTGCAAGTCTCTCACCTTATGAAAATCAGGCTCATAGCAGTAAAGTGACTTACCCAAGATTACATAGCCACTAAGTGGGCAGAGCAGGAACTTAAACTGGGGTTTTCTCATACTAAGGCTGATGATCTTTCTATCAAACCACATTTGCCTTTCTCAGGCCTATTGGTTCTGACCCCTTTGACTACAGAGAGATTTCCTACTAGCCTCATTCCAAGGGATGGGTTGAGATGAAATTGATCAATCAATAAGCATTATGAAGTATCTTCTATGTGTTAGGTACTGTGCTAGGTGCTGGAAAAACAAAGTTAAAAATAAAACAACCCCTGTCCTCTAGAGGCTTACAGTCTAGCCAGGAGTCACAACCTATACATATGTAGGTATATACAGAATTGATGCAAGATTATTTGAGGGGAAGTCACTGACAACTGGAGGGATCAGGAAAGGCTTCATGTGATAGAGTGTAAACTGAAAGCCAGCCAGCAACAAATGGCCAAAAAATATTCCTGAGTTCAGTCTGAACCGATTAGAGTGTAACTGGGAAATGTTTAACAAAATAAGTGAAAATATAATGCAATATAGATAATCTTAATCTGTGGTTTTCTAAGTCAATATGTGACCCACAGGGATCCCTTTCTATTTGAATTTGACACCACTGATGAGGAAGATGGTTCTTGAGCTGGTCCTTAAAGGAAAACTAGGGATTCTAGGTGATAGGGTTGAGGAAAGAGGACTTTCTAAGCACGAGGGACACAATACAAAGACACAGAGACAGGAGATTGTGTGCCATGTATGAGGCACAATAAGAACACCACTCTTACTAGACCATACAGTTTGTGAAGGGAAGTAATAAGACTGGAGAGATAAGTTGAGGCAGGTTTGGAGGTCAATGAAAGTATATGCCTGGCATCCTTCAGGCTTCTTCAGACAGGGGCAAAGCTGAATGCCCTTATTTTCAGATAGTGTCCTCATTTGATGTAAGACTTGCCCTGTTGCCTTAATTAAAAAACAAAAACCATAAAAAAGTTGAGGTGCTCAGCTTACTCCAGAACAGCCCAACATGGCGCATGAGATGCCTCAGTGTTTCAGAACTAGATCCAGCCTAGGGGAAATTTTTGCAGGACTTGGTTGTCTTCCTTAGCCCCACACTTTCCCTACTCGTCTACCTTTCCTTTGCTTGGCTCTTCAGACTTACACTACATACCTCATCTGAGACTTATTCTGGGTTCCAGGCTTTCAATGTGTTGGCATAATGCTCAATACAAGGGAGATAATAGCTCTATTTTCCTCTGTCCTAGTCAGATTAAAAACCCAGCATATTGGGTTCAGTTTTGGGCACCACATTTTTAAAAGATCATGGCCAAATTGAAGCATTCCAGAAGTGAGTAAACATGGACAGAGGGAATAGAGATAATACTGTATAAGGATTAGTTGAAGGATCTTGGAATGGTCAGCCTGGAAATGAGAAGACAGCGGGAGACATGGTAGCTATCTTCAGAGATTTAAAGAACTGTCATGTAGAAGATGATTTAGACTTAAGATCACAGGATGTTAGGATTTAGAGCTGGAAGGGAACTTTAAAATCATTTAAAACCAACTCCCTCAGATTAGAGAGGAAATACTAAAACAAAGACCCCCCCAAAAAAAAAGAAAGAAAAGAAAAGAAAGAAAGGAAACCCAATGTACGTCATAGCAAAAACAATGGACCTAGAAAGCAGACTAAGAAGAAAAGTTTAGGAATCATTGGACTACCTGAGTACCAAGACCCAAAAAAAAGAGCCTAGACAACATATTTCAACAAATCTTATAAGGGGATTACCAAGATCTCTTAGAACCAAAAAGTGGATATAACAAGAATCCACCAATCCCCTCCTGAAAGAAATCCCAAAATTAAACTCCCAGGAACATTATAGCCAAAATTCAGAGCTTCCAGTTAAAACAAAAGAGGGTACAAGCAATTCAAGCACTGAGGAGCTAGAGTCAGAATCACATAAGATTTTGTAGCCACCACTGTAAAGGAGTAGAAAATTTGAAATATAATATTAGAGAGGTATGGACTTGGAGTGCAGATTGAGACATATTGGGGGGGGGGACATTACCAATGCAGGAATTTGTTTTGCTGAACTGTACATGTTTGTAATAGGAGTTTTGTTTTTTTTTCTTTCTATCTCAGTTGAGGGAAGGGGTGAAAAAGAGGGAGAAAATTTAATTAAAAAAAGATTCAATGAGATAGTTATTTGAAAAGGACAGCAGATATAGAATCAGAAGACTTGAGTCTGAACTCCCACTCTGACACATGCTGGCTGAGTGACACTGAGCAAGTCTCTTAAGCTCTCAGGTCTTTAGTTACTTACCTGTAAAATGGGGATAATATTAACCCAAGTCCCAAAGCCAGTCCAGGCTAGCAAAAGTGTAAACAAATCAAAAACAATGGACCTTGTTGAATGGAAGGCTGGAGCTTTTAGCAATAAAAGCATGCAGTGATTTCATTTAAAAAGTGTACTCAAGTAGCCCCATTCAGAAAAATACTGAAGAAGTCTGGAAGGTAACAAAAAAAAAAAAAACAAAAAACATTCAAGGTTTTTAGGGGAAAAAATAGCCAAAACCCACAATTTCTTGCAAAAATAAATAACCAGAAATTATGTTCCTAACGACAAAGTTCCAACATGTAGCAAGGGGATGTCTTGTGTGGCTTTCAGGGAGGCAAGAATAGACCTCTCTTCTCCTTTCTTCACTCTTCTCCAAGGGAGAGTTTGATTCCTGCCAGGAAGGAAAGTGGGTGATTGGGGCCAGAGAGTGGGAGTACTGGACTAGAATTCTACCTATCTGGTCCCTTAAATATTGTTAGTCTAGGGAATGTAATATTTAGATTCAAGCTAAATTCCTAATTACTGTTCCTTAATGGAGAAAGGAGGACACCAAGCTTTATATCCAAGGCTTGACTCTATTCCCTCCAAATACCAAACACATAGCAAATATCAGTGAAACTCATTTATCCAAATCAACAGCAAAACAGAAATCAGAGAAAGTATACAGATGAAAATATATACCAGACAATCAGATTGAAGGAGCTCTTCCATTGGGAGCAAGGTAACTCAACTCAGCCAAGAAAATCTCAGATCTCACCCAAGGGGAAAAATTCCTAAAGTCTCTAGTGTAGCAAGCTGAAAATAAGTTTGTGATCAAAGTTGGACTTCTTCTAGAGTCTTCCTACCTTCACGGCTCTGAAGAAAGGTTGGAATTCCACACATCTGTTTTCCTCCATGCTAGAGATTGGAAAAATTCTAACAACTCCACGCTGCTTCTCCCAATGCTCCCAATGCTCCCAATGCTCAGGGCATTGGCCTCCACCAATGAGGAGAGATTCCCATGCCAGTGGGCCTCAGAGCTTGGTCTACAATACTTATCCTGCCAACCTCATGGGATTGTGGTGAGTAAAGAGCTTTGTAAACCCTACAATTTTATAGTGACAGAAAAATTGTTAATATACTAACAGGAAAAAAAGTTAATATCCCTCTTAATGATCCTAGTAATGTCAGAATTCAGGTAACATCCTAATATGCCTACTTTTAAGACATTTTCAATTAGGTTAAGTTGAGGCACACCCTAAGCCCCCACCCTGGGACCTTTCCTTGTAAACAAAGCCAGCTTGAGCCATACCAGCTTCCAAAGTAGCTTCTGATGTCCTTACCCTTGTGAAAAATGATTTCTCTTGGTAATCTACATCTTGGAGACTCAAAGTTCCACCCTGACAGCCTTCTGTCCAAAGTTGTTCAGAAGGACATCTCTGATAATGAGATTGCATTGAATCTTCTTATCTGGGTCAAACTCTAACCCAGGCCTGAATTGATTTTATCCTACTCAGGTTTGGGTGGAGAGAGATCCCAAGACTGGGGGTGGTATTTCCTTTGATGATGGATGATATTGGTCCCTGTGGACTGTGTGATCCTAGGCACATACTCAAGACTTCATTTTGATATGACCCACCTCCTAATGTGTCAGCCAATCATGGCTGATTGGCACCCCTTGGCACTCTTTGAAGGACATATAAGGTTGTACCCCCAAATCCTAAACCAAGCCAATTCTGAACTGGCCTCCTTAGGAGGGCCCAGTTTTAGACTGAACTCCCATGCAATGCATGTCAAGTCAGCTTGAGAGAAATTAAACAGTGGATACATGCACTCCAATTTCGTTTGTCTCTTTCTTAGAATAAATAAATTGGGGTTCACATTAATGGTGACACGACTCAGATTTGGACTTGGATTTTGGGGACATACTTTCACTCCAACAGTGCTGGGGCTCAGCACTCACAGGACTTTTTTCCTGAAGTCCCAGCCCTGCAGGGTGGGTAAGTCTTATTCCCAAAATCCCTGCTCCTTATCTATAGGACCTCCCATTTTTAGGTTGCAGTTTATTTTCTTTTTTCTCCAAGTGGCTCTGGGGTTAGGGACCTCAAAAAAAAAGGGGGATCTCCTCTGATGGATATCCTCTGTAATTGGCTAGAGGTCAGTCAGAGTAAATTGGCATGTGATAACTTTGAATATTGACCAGTCTAATTAAAAACAAACTCCAACAAGAAAATTAGATTCATGCACATTTTGTCTTGTCAATCTGTTTCTGTCTCTGTGTGTGTTTGTAAAATATTTCATGTTTGCAATGAAAGATTTAAAATGCAACCATAAAAAACTTCTAAGGAACTTCTAAGGTCTGTAATTAGAACGGTGGGGAAATAACTCCCACTTTAGGTTTTTAGTGGGAGATTAAGACTCTTCTTTTGGGGGGTGGGGAGGTCCCAACACTGACTAAGTTGAGATACCAGAATAAAGTTAGATAATGAGTAATGGAATCAAAAAGCAGGGAGAGACTCTCCCAAAAGTAGTGGAAGGTGGAATCAATGAACAAGCAGCTTTTAGACTGATAAGATCTAATATCATGGCAATGTGTTTAAAACTGCAAAAATAAGGGTTTTTCTTTCTTTTAAGCATTAACATTATAAAAGCTGTTTGTAAAGGGTATGGAAGAAATACAACTCTCTTGATTTGTAACTTATTAGACATTAACTTCCTCCAGATTATAACAAGGTGAAGAGAAGCAGGACAAAAAGTGGGGTGAGTATAATTTTTTTAGTTTGGAATGTAAAGTGGAGGTAATCTGAGTAATGGGTTTGAAAGATTAGGAAAGGGGCAGCAAGGTGGCACAGTGGATAGAGCGCCGGCCCTGAAGTCAGGAGGACCGGAGTTCAAATCTGGTTTCAGACCAAACACTTGACACTTACTAGCTGTATGACCCTGGGCAAGTCACTTAACCCCAACTGCCTAAGCAAAAAAAAAAAAAGTTTAGGAAAGAGGAATAAAGTTTTGAGCAAAAATATGATGGGTAGGAAAAAAAATGGTCTGAGAATACATGGGACTGGGGTGGCCCACAGCAAGGCCATGTGCTTTAAGCACCCACATCCTTGGATAGTTGTTCTGGGTGCCTTTGTACCAGTTTCAGATGGTTTTCCTTTGCCTGGGCCAAACCCTTTAGCTAACTTGGATTACAGGTGATTTTAAACTGTTTGTAAAACTTACATGCATCAGCCTGAAACTCCCAAGAGGATAGAATGCTTAGGGTAGTTTTTATCAGATAAACCTCAAAGGGAGACTTTTCAGCCCTCTTAAGGAAGTGAAGAGAAAAAAAAAAGTTACTCAGAGCTTGGAATTGTCACCACATGTTTTTCTAAGGGAGTGTATGAATTTATGGATAATATTTCCTTTCAAAGGGTCAAGAGTATAGAACTTTTTAAAAAATAATTTTAAATGTCTATCATTAGCACTTATAAATCCAGATTTGATTTGATTTAAGTCAAAATCTGTCCTGAAGGAATAAAAACAGCATCTGTGAGTGCTCTTCCTAAGCAAAAAGATATTGTTATTTGGCATTAAGAAATTTTTTAATTGTATGACCCCAAGAGTTTACCTCAGTTTACTGTTCTGTAAGGACATAATAGTGGAACCCACTTCCCAGGGATGTTATGAGGATCACATGATTATAAAATGACTGGCATATGCTAGACAACGTTATTATCTCTCTAATTTAATGTAATTGTTTCATACTTGATAACTTTGAAGTAGTTTTAAAATACCAAAAGTAATAAGATCAATCATTTCTGTATGTGATAATCTGAAAATGCAATTGATGCCATCTGAAGTTTATTATTTGTGTTATTACTGTATTTCTCAATTTTTAATCTAGATTTTGTTGCATATGAATTAGGCCTTTTAAAATGAAAGCGATGAGATAAAATCTTTTTGAAAACTGTTAACATTTAATGAAGTAAATTTGGTTATAATTAAGTAATAATAATAATGATATTTACTATGAGAGCAGATTTTTCATTTGAAATCTTGGCTATTAAGAAAATATATAATAAGGTGGTTTTAGGTTGTAGTTTCAATATATTAATGATAAGATGAATGATTCTATGTGCAAGGTGATTTAGAAATGCATTTACCTAAAGTGATAATGGGTTGTTTCAAGTTTTAAATACGTTGTAATGTGTAGGGTATTGTTACATTCCTAAATTGTGCAATTTGGTAAACAATTATATCACCTATGTTGTTAGAAAAGCAATTTCTTTTATAATCTAGACGTTGTTAGATTAAGAAATGTACTGTCAAAAAAAATGAATGAGTTAGGAAGCTGTTAGGTCATTCTATCTGACCATTTTGAAGTACTATAATTTAAAAAATCATAAACTTCCAAGTTTTGTCTATATTTAAAAGTAAGTTTCAGCTAAAATTATTTGGTTCTCATTTATGAAATTTAAGATTGTGAACTGAGATATTTGAAGTTATTGTTTAAATCAAGTATTTGTAAAAGTATTTTTGTGAAAGGAAACTTGTTAATTGTGCAAAAAAGGACCTTGTAAAATTTCCTTGTAATTTATTTAGTTTGTTATAGTAACAGGATACATTGTAAGCTGTTTTTTAAGAAAGGGAAATACTTTTATAAAGAAATGTTTTGTAAAATCTTTTGTATGAGTTTTAGAAGGCCTACTAAATTTCCATCTGCAAGCTAATTTGTTTCAGTAATAATTTGATATTGATGACAATTATGTCCAAACCTACTGTGAATTTTGAGTTTGTTTTCCTAGGTTTGAATTTCCTAGGTTTGTTGTGTCCTTGGACTGGCCTTAATGAGTGCTTTCTGAGAAACAGAGTCAGAGGCAGCAGCTTAATGAGAGCAGCATCAGAGGTATTAATACTAAAGCAATTACTGTGATGAGCTGTAAGTGGGAAGGATCTTGCTGTTTTGATCCAACTTCATTCCATGGCCTAACAAGGGTTAAAATTAGTGTTTGAACTTCTCACATGTATAAGATTCAATTCCTGAAGTGTCTCAGTCTTTCAGATTAATTATGGTTAGAGAAGGATAAATAAGCTTGAGAAGCACAGATGCAAATCTGTTAGAGTAGCAACTTAAGATGTTAATGGAAATTTGATTTTACTCAGGGCTGTTATTTAATCAGGAATTAGAACATGTGTAGGAATGCATGTAAACTACTTAAGGCTCACTTTAAAGATGTTCCCTAACCAATGTGAGATTATAGTCACATCTGAAAATCTAATTATGGAACTTGCTATTCAAGACCTTATGGGACTGTTAATGGACTGTAATTCTGAGTCTAATTCCAGGCATGGTTATTATATCAAGGTGAGCCATTGACCCATGATGCTAGTAATCCTGTTGTGGGGGGGAGGGGTGTCTATGAGCTGTATCTATAAACCGCAGAAGGTGCTCTCATGGGAAAGTCAGAAGAACGACTAATCTACATGAGTTGAGGTAGGATTCTCCTGACTCAATTTCCCCACTCTGACACCTCAAAGACTTTAAGCCTGGCTCAATGCAGTTGGCCATTACATAATGTCTGCTTGGAAGGGAAACAGTGTTGCCTTACTTTAGTTATATTCCTATTCTTTTACCGCAAATTTCTATAATCAAAAGTTTTGTATGCACAATATTAAATCTATTAAATGATAGATTGATGCTGGAATATCTGAGGCTATTAAAGTAAGATGCAAGTATAAGATTGAGCTATTTAGCTTAGAATTTTACAATTAAGTATTTAGCCTTGACATCTGTTACTAGTATATCCCTGTATAAATTAGGGTCCTTTAATTCCTCATAATGGTGTGGGGATAATCAGGTCAAGGGCTTACCTGTCTCAGTTTGTTACAATTAGTTAATGTTAAAATAAGAATGACTTGTGGTCTGTCTTGTAAATGCCTTGAAAGAAGCATCTACTTTAATTAAGGATTATTTATTTGTACATGACCAGAACTTGGAATTGTTTTATTACTTGACATGTACTGTTTTTAAATTGATTACTCAATGTATTTAACTGAGTTCTAATTTTTCTGTTACTTCTTTTCTAATTTGAGTTTCTTAAACATAACAATTGGCCAAGGTTCCAATTTTGATCTTATAATAATAGAGGCACAAGGGTTGGTTTAACTTTCATTATTTGACCTGGTTATTGGCAAGACAATTTAAAATTGCGTTAAGATCAATCTTGTAGGAGAGTGGACACAAGAAAAAGAATCTCTACAAGAAGAGAGTCTGTTGGACACTGCTTGAACAGCACTCAGACTAGAAAACTTCATCAGATGATGTCCCGAAACCAGACAGCTGTATGAGATGCCTTAAATGGACTACTTATTGTTACCTTTTTTACCTTTGGGTCTCTGTATTTGTACTTACTAAGGGGACTGCCCCTTTTGATTTTTCAATGCGTTGATCAATTTCTCCCTCCCTTCTCCCATATTGTTAGAAGCCCCCAAAACTCCTTAATGAAATGTTGACCATATCAGTTAGTGATTCATCGAGAAGGCTACACCTCTCATTAGAATCAGATGGGGGAATGTGAAAAATGACTTCTCTTGGTAATCTGCATCTTAGAGACTCAGAGTTCTACCCTGCCAGCCTTCTGACCAAAGTTGTTCAGAAGGACATCTCTGATAATGAGATTGCATTGAATCTTCTTGTCTTGGTCAGACTCCAACCCAAGCCTGAATTGATTCTATCCTACTCAAGTTTGGGTGGAGACAGACTCCCAAGACTGAGGGTGGTACTTCCTTTGATGGTGGGCAATATTGGCCCCTGTAGACTGAGTGATCTAAGGCACATACTCAAAACCTTATTTTGATATGACTCACCTTCTAGTGTGTCGACCAGTCACAGTTGATTGGCACCCCCTGGGAACACCTACTCTTTGAAAAGCATATAAGGCTGTACCTCCAAATCCCAAACTGGGCCAGTTTTGAACTGGCCCCCTTAGGGAGGCCCGATTTTGGACTGAATTCCCATGCAATGCTTGTTAAGTCAGGTCAAGAGAAATTAAACCGTGGACACATGTACCCTAATTTCATTTGTCTCTTTCTTAGAATAAATAAATTGGGGTTCACACCCTCTTCCTTTAGGATCATGGCATGAATGGCAAAACAGGCAGAATGAAGCGGTTTTCCTTGCTTGGATTGCCAAGTGTAACTGGCATCTCATGACCAGACTTCACTACCTAATATGATTCCCCTCCCCTTTTTCTCCTCCTGTAGGTCTCCTGGTGGTACATCCCCCAGGGTGACAGGTCTGCTACCTTGTTATCTTGATTAAAGATACCTTATTCTTCCACTTCTGAGTTTAATTTATTTTCGAACTTGACAATAGCAATAGGAATCACTATAATGCATATAAAGCACGTTGAAACAGTCAAGCACTTTATAGAGACAACTGTGAAAGCCTTAAAAATTCTGATCAATACCATGACTCATCTTGATTCTCCAGGATCCATGATGAAACGTGCTACCTACGTCCTAACAGAGAGGTGATGGACTCAGGTTGCAAAATGAGACAAATATGTTCTGGATGCACAGCCAATGCAGAAATATTTTTTGTTTGACTATGTATATTTGGTTCAAGGTATTTGTTTTCTTAAATCGGGGATAGAAGAGAGACAAAATAGATTTTTAATGAAAAAAAATCTAATTTTATAAAAAGAAAAGAAAGCCAAGTACTGTGTAAATGTAAGCTATTATTAAGGAAATGAGGAAATTAAGACTCTGAAAGGTTA